TCGGTAATTCCCCTGCGGTGTGTTCCAGGTACCTTAATATTTCAAAATAACTCGTTATGTGACGTCTGTGGTTTAAATGATTTACAGATATGTTTTGGGGAATGTTAAATGCGACACTATATATATATATACGGTTTAAATTTAACGTATTTCTTAAGTACGCTTAAAAGTTTCGTCATTTAGAGACAAGAGTTGTCTGGAAATTATAAGTATTGAGTCTGAAATAGTTTAAAGTTTCGATTTTTTTATCTACAGAATATTAATTCCCGTGTCATTAAAGTTGCTATGAATAAATTACCTACTTTACTCTTTAGCGTACTTACAGCAGTCTTTAAAGGAAATACGCTTGCCGTAGGCCATTAGGCCATTGTGTGTGTCAGTGCATGCTCTCTGCCAATAATAGTTGAACCAGCTGGATTACTTTTGCAAAAATAAGTTAATGTGTGTCGTTAGATGGCTTTACCTTGTCATTTATGATGAACTTTTGTGTCATCATAAATGTTAACAAGGGCGCATGCGCGAATCTGCAACATAGATGAATCTTGACGTACCATTTTATAAAATTTAATCTAATGAGAATTAAAACTAAAAGGCCCGTGTCTTCAGTTTGTAATCGCAGTTTTCATGGGTTCATTAAGAAATAAATTTATATCCCACATATGATACATAACGATATACTACCGAATAGCCCGTCCAGAATGACGGGAAAATCTAAAGTATGAAGATTTCTGTCTTCTGGGTTGTTGCGCCGTGTAGTCTGGTCGATGTTTACCAATCGCCCTGATGACGGACGCAGTATGACCTCCGAAACGTTGGCTAACATCGACCAGACTACACGGCGCAACAACCCAGAAGACAGAAATCTTCAAACTCACCGCCGTGAAAACCTCAAATCTTACAAATCTAAAGTAGTAAACAAATATTCATAAATATTATACCACAGAGCCCAAAATCTGTAGCAGCATTATGACGGAAACTGTTGTAAAAACGCGCTTTTGAATATTATCGTCTTTTATAATTGTCCTCACCTTTCTGTGAGTCATATCTCGTAACTAATAATATTTTGTTTATTTTTTGAATGCCTTGTACTTCCGTATTTGCGTATCGATATCGTGTTCAAACTAGTTCGGTCTAAAAAATATAACAGTGGCGTTCCTTTATTCGATTGTTTTTTGTCCGATTAGTGATACCATAAGCCTGTACATTCCGCTGTTTCGTAAAGTCATCGTTCTTTTGTCCTGCTTCGACTGTACCCAGTCTTTTGTAAATTCTAGACGAAATAATTCTCTTTTATTTTAATACTATTTCCTTTTCTTGCACTAATATCTGATTTGTCCTTTGTATTTCCTCGTATTCCATAAGTACATTCCTTATTTAATGAAGCATCTTTCGTATTATCTGTATTATTTGTAATTATTCTTGTGTGTCCTGTGCCTGTGTATTTAGTACGTAAACGGGCTTGTATTCCCCTGTAGCAGTGTGATCGTGCTATTCCAAAAATCCTTAAATTTGTTCAACAACTTTTGTAGGTGGGTATGCACTTACCAAATATTTCCTCCATATTGTGTACACAGCTGTTAGCTTGTCCGTCAGGACCACGTGTCTCACAGAGACGTGTCCACAGTCCAATAAGCTTACTCGTAATGTTCTAATGTGAAATTAATGTTCCTGTGATGTTATTCTCGGGTGTTGAAGAAATTTTCTACTTATATGTAACACGAAGATTTTGTTACAACTATTTATCCATAACCTGATCCAGTTAGATATATTTCCTTTGGCACCCTGTATGAACGCGCCATCTGTGAAGACGTCTGGAGGAGTGGAGGTATAGCTCCACACGTTTATAACCTCGGTTCTAGATAAATGTGAGTGGTCAGTTTCAATCCAAGGTCGTTCTGTTCCAAGGAAAAAGCCCAGATTGGACGGAGGCTGTGTGGTCCTCTGAGACGTTCTGCAGAACCTCTTAAGTGTATGAGTCAAAATCCAAACTTTACTACAGTGAAAACGAAAATATCCCACATAATGTATTTCAGAAGCTGCTTCTCGCTCAGCTGGTCAGGAAATTTCATACTATTTATGAAAAACATAAATTCATTCCCATGTTCGTAGGATGAATTATTTTTATGTTTGGCGCTCGAAAAGACTTGACCTCCACATTACGTCTTCTTTTTGTACACTTCGTACGCAGGTGGAATAATAATTGGGCGTGGATCGGAACCATCCGACGTTCGTAGCTTTCGTAAAGCAATATGACCGTTACAGATAAAGAGTTGTCCTGTTAAATCGAATTTATTTCATGTCAGAATGGGCCAACGTAATAAATTAGTATTACTGCGATTTAAGAGGGTTTTTTTTTGTTTTAAACTTTCGAGTTTAGTTTTCTCAGAACATTTCTTGTTTTTTTCTCGTTCCTGCATAACTACGTCCTGACAGTGAGGAATGTCCACCTCTTTTCAGCTGTCTTACAGCTCGTTCAACATATTTTTATTAGCTGGCCATATCTGGAAAAAAACAACATTTTGCTCTGAAAGCCCCCCAAGGTAATAACCACTCGTGGATGGTAGGATAATATTGAAAATTATCCAGAAATAGAGTATAGACGTTTGAACTGGATTTAACTGGCTCGTGATATGATCCATTGGCGGTATTTCGTGAAGATCAAACCGAAGATGGCGATCGCCCTGATGAATGACGGAGGCAGTATGACCTCTGAAACGTCGGTAAACTTCTACCAGACTACATGGCGCAAAAACCCAGAAGACTGTCATCTTCAGGTTCACTATCGTGAACACATCAAATCCTACAAGATCAAATCGAACGTTCTGGTTGCATTGAAGTGGGGAATTGTCTTGTCAGCTAAGTAATCAAAAAATTCTCAAAAAATTTTCGGGCCCACGGAGGTTATTTTCGCAGCTCGATATCCGTAACTTTGGTTTCTGGTCTCTTGGACTCTCAGGACAGGAGAAGTCACGCGAAGTGCGAGGTTATGTCTACAGGAAATTCCACTTTGTGACGTAATCTACCCTCACGGTTTATAATAAATTGTAAAGCGGATGTTATTACTGCTCGTGAACATTCAGAACAGGGAAATTGTAATTTGTATGAGAATTTGAAGGATTCAGAAATATGTGCCATCTGTTACTGAGACGGTCCTGCCATTGTTTGATGGAGCATTTCCGCTATTCGCTTTATGTGAACAAAATCTCTCGAGGGTGGACATTTTAGCAAACAGTGGATTGTTTACTCGTTCGAATGCTACTTGATCTAAAGGGTAAGAATATATTAAATGCTTCGTGGGGCTTCGGTCGTGTGTGAGATGTTCCAAGCCCTGGAAAATGGACATGACATTTGGAAATGTCAGTGTCTCTACAGTTTACAGTTATTGAAAATACTAAGAAGATTATAAACAGTGTGAATTATAATTCGTTGGAGAACGGGGAGCCATATATGACAAGCCTGGCACTGAACCAGCTGACTATTATACAGTGTGTTCGATTTAAAACGAAATCCAAAAATCACGTACAACAGCACAAATTTTGAAATCAGAAGCAGGTTCACACCTTTAAAATATACTCTCCCAGACCATCTACTCTAGTCAACGTCACTCTCGTTGCTAGGCCGCTCCGGGTCGTTTGTTTAATGTCCAGCATTGCTTGTCTTCGAGATCTGCTCTGAACCTGTTGTGTAAGTTCTTTTAACAAACATAAACCAAAAAAAATTATTTAGCTTGTTATATTAATGTCATCAAAGCTTATAAGTTATTTTGTGGTTAGGGTTGCATTGTAAATGGAACGTATACAGGGTGTCCTAAAAAAAGATTTATATACTTTCCTTGAATGGCACAATCGACCTTTCGCCATTTTGCTTATATGAATCATGGGGAAAGGTACTGCGGTGTCATCTGTTAAGTGTAGACTAGGTTCTACCCATAAGCGTCTAGCGGTTAGAACGCTGGCCTTGTAATCCTGGGGTCTCGGGTTCGATTCCCGGCGGTGCCCGGATTTATAACTTGTGTTGGGCAAGGCCGTGGTCTAGGCAACACGGAGTTTTCCTCCGTGGCATCCCAACAATTACTCCATTCACACACAGAAGAAGGCAATGGCAAACCACTTCTGGATCATCTGCCAAGAACGTATATGAACAGGTCCCAGTCCGAGAAGAGAAAAGGATGGAAGGATCCTGTTCATATGGACCTGTCGTCAGACAGAACACTAAATAAATAATATAAATAATATTGTAATGTGTATACATAATTTTTAGTACATGCCTTTGGGATAGGCGTTTTTGTACACAAGAGAATCTATCAGTCATGAGGCTAGAATTTGTAACTGATAGGATGTCAGATTGTAATGAGAGATCTGAATGCACATCCGGGCGATATAAGTGATGAGACAATGGTCACATTTCATGAGGAACTGTATAATCGAATTTTCGACTCTACAAGACTCGTGAATGACCCATATACTCTACGTAATGTTCAAATATTCATCGCCCTGAAGCCGTATCTGACTCGTGTTCGTATGACGTATCTGACATGGTATGACATCAATTACCTAAGTTCTGAGTTAGTCACCGGACACCCCTATATTCGTCCATATGAGCTGTACTGAACCGGTTATAATACCATATTAACCTTTCACGTGGTTGACGTCTTTCGGATGTGGTCCTTGTCTCCCCTGCGTGTCTGTCTGATGATAGTCCAGCGGTAGCTTAGCCATTGGCGGTGTCTCCTTCGATGTGAAAGTTGAAATGCTTAAGGCCAGTTTCGTATGGTAAGGAAATCATAAGGTTCACTACTGTGTATACAGCCTCCAGCCGTGTTTGAGATCCATTTAATATTATCCTCCCATCTCTGCCTAGGTCCTTCTAGTGGACTTCTCATTTCAGGTTTCCCACCCAAAATTTTGTGCATATTTCTCATCTCCCCATGTGCGCTGACACGTTTATCTCATCCTTTTCACATACAGAAATATATTGACTTTCTTCTGTTTTTGTTCCAGGAAAAGAACTCCTTTCTAAACTACAACGTCTCTTGTATCCTCACACTACCCCCGTATCAGCGCCAGGGTTACGGTCGACTCCTGATTGACTTCAGTGAGTACAAACCCGTCAAAGTTCACGGGAATTAACCTTCTTTGTATGTTACTATTGGCCGTCTTTACATAGCTATAAGACCTCGTGTCTTTATATTTGATTTATCACGATGTTTCAGACGTAAAGGTCCTCATTTATCTCCGCAACTCTCTGAACTGCTGGCAGATTGTCCCAAATTCTTTAATTTAAGAGTTAAAATTATGTATGTCTAAATGTTTGAAACACTTCTTATATAATAATTAATACTGAGGTACTTTAGGTTCCACGCGACGGAATAAAATGTCACTATTAAATTTTCCTTCTTCGAAAATTAAAACCCGTTAATATTTCTGGAGAATTGTTTGGTGTTGTGGTTTGCCTTGGTTATTCTTAAAATGCGTATTTATCCGTGACAACGTAGTGTTCATTTTTACAGCCCATAATGCAAAGTGCTTATGGGACACCTCGTATATATTAATATCCAGTCCGGTTATTTAAATGTCACACCTTGTAATATGAAGGCAATTATCCAGACTTGGTTGCACATTTTCTAAGAACCCATTAGATCCATCCCGTTGTCTGTCCATCACTGGGTACTTTGCCATCCTGTTGCTACCCTTGACAGCTGAAACTAAGTTCTCGTGTGTCCAATATACTTAGAAAATGTGGCTTCCTACACATCCGTTGATCGTTTTCCTGGGAAAATGACGATCCAAGTTGGGTTATAACTTTGCTTCCGGGAAATTCGAACATAATACGTCTAGATATTCTTTTATTGACGTAATCACACGTGTGTTACGTTTTATCTGATAAGGAAACTAAGAATTTATTGGTTTTGTATTGGTTTAATATGCACTGGATTGAAAGAATAAAAATAGATATGTGGTGAAACGTCATGGAAATTACATTTGGAGGATCCAGAAGATTCCCTTGTGTTTAGTCGAAAAATTTTATCGCTGTGATAAAAATTTAAAGATTTTTTTTAAAAATGTTTAATAACTAGATTTGGAGCTTCACAATATGTACTGTTCCCCAAACACGTTAAGTGTGAGCATTAGGGAATATGTGAGAGTTGAAAAACATGTATCACGGATGGCAGATATGAGAAATGCTTGCAAATTTTTCAGTGGATAACCTGGAAAAAGAAACCTTTCTAACATGTAGAATGAAAATAAATATTTCACCCATCCGCACCAACGTAAAAATGCTAAAGTGTCAGCTGATTCGTATGCAGTCTGTAAGCCGAATGTCCAAGAAACTGTTGATCGTGTTAGTACAAAGAGGAACGTATATCGCACGGATAAACTCGTACGTGCGTGTCATGTATTTCCCTTTGAAATTCCAAGAAATATCACCAGATGGTTAGGTTGGTGCCGTTATGTTGGCATTACAGCCGCAGTCAGGCGTTATATGTGCTGTCTTGCATAAAGGTGAATGAGTTCGCCATCTTGCTTACCAAGGGTTCGTAACGGACCTGCCTTAACTGATAATCCCAACTCAGCAGTTGCGAAACTCTTGAGGTATTCGAGGACCTGCCCTAGAATTTACGCTACGAACCGAGTACCTTATGAAGGACTGTTCATATGTGGACTGAGATCAGAACACGGGACCTCTCGAAAACTAAGTCCGAATTCGGATCTCAGCGTTTCGTGCAGTAGATTTGTGTATAGTGAATATAAAGATTAAGAGATCACGCTTTAAGCTTCGTATTTACTATGAAATGCATTAAAGCTTCGAACTATTTTTAATGTTTTTTTTGGTCGAAGTAAAAATTTCATTAGAACGTTAGTACAGTGGTATTAAACCTTTTTTGTTCGCGTACCCCCAGATATAATTTCCCTTGAACTTTGTACCCCCAAAGTTGTTGGTGTATAATTCAAGTTATACAAAGTAATCTACATCTAAAATAAATTAAATAAATTACATTACTGATTATTCAGTGTTTATCATAAAATAATATATATTTTTTTAAAATTTCACGTACCCCCTAAGATATTTTCGCGTACCCCCAGGTTGAATACCACTGGTCTAGTAGACCCTGATGATGTTGGCAGCAAACACCTGAGAAACGTCGGTCAGTTTCTACCAGACTACACTTTGCAAGATGCCAACTTCATCTGCATCAATACCATTCTTGAAAAGAAAAAAAAAGTGGTTTTGAAAGGGAAATTTCGCACCTGCAATTTGTGTAGTGTAATTAGCAGACATGGAAATATGGCGGAGTGTCACGGACTGGGATAATAAGTCCGCCATTGTTCGCAATTTGTGTTAGCTCCGCCCATACCACGTCATCGTAACAGCCGGTTAGCCACAATAATAACGAGAACTACCGCAATGACCAATTGAACGACAGGCACTTCGGCGCTGAAACCAGTGGTTGCTAACCCGATTTCCATCAGTACAATTAACACGTTCCTTTTCTGCTCGTTACGCGGGCAGAAGTGAATCCCGCCCCGAAGCTCTTATAAATTAAGAATTCAGTCCGTACCGCGAAGTAAACACCACTCTTCACCATTACAAAGATCAACTGGTTAACGCTGTTTAAGGAAATAATCGTTGTTTATAATGAGACACGCGCTACGTACCTAATATTTAAACAGAGAGTCCGTACCGCGAAGAAAACACAACTCTTAACCATTAGGGAGATCAACTGGTTAACGCTGTTTAAGGAAATAATCGTTGTTTATAATGAGACACGCGCTACGTACCTAATATTTAAACAGAGAGTCCGTACCGCGAAGAAAACACAACTCTTAACCATTAGGGAGATCAACTGGTTAACGCTGTTTAAGGAAATAATCGTTGTTTATAATGAGACACGCGCTACGTACCTAATATTTAAACAGAGAGTCCGTACCGCGAAGAAAACACAACTCTTAACCATTACAAAGATCAACTTTTTAACTCTGATTAAGGAAATAATCGCTTTTTGAATCATACGAAACATAAATGCACTCTGCGGGCAGAACGTAAAGTTATTTACTATTAAAGGAGGTGGTATTTCGTCATGAAACAGTTGTTTTTTGGACCCATAAGGGATGAAAGAGGATGCTGGGGACAATTGTTTCGTGAGTAGATTCATAATTTTTATACTTTAACAAATGTTAGTGTGATTAAAAGAAGATCTTGTAATCATTGAGATTCTTACGACGAGAGGTTAGGATTATAGAGGACTTGGAATGGACTTAATTTTGAATATAATTTATTTATAGGATTTGGGGTTTTCACGGAGGTGAGTCTGAAGATGGCTGTCTTCTGGGTGGTAGCTCCGTGTAGTCTGGTAGAAGTTTACCGACGTTTCAGAGGTCCTTGCTGCCTCCGTGATTAGAATGTCAGTAAACTTGTACCAGACTACACGGAGCTACCACCCAGAAGACAGCCATCTTCAGATTATTTGTAATTTCTTTTCGGAAGAAGGTTATATTTTTGAGCATTCTTGAACATTATTAACAGCGACAATACTGGATATGATGGCGGTAATAATAATAATAATAATAATAATCATCTGTTTCCAAAATCCATCTTTGTATCACCTTCAATTCTTTAATTCAACGCATTTGTACGAACAGTAGTAACAGCCACCCCCCCCCCCTCCCCCAGTAATTTCTAGAAGAGAAAAGACCAGTTCTTCGGGTTTCGTCGTATTTTGAAGAATTCAGTCCGATGTATAAAAAAAAAGTCAGCTGTCAATGGTGTAGTGACATGCGATTACCTGCCATGTGCCTCGCTCCTTTACAGACCCAAAATTGGAAAATTTTATTTTCAAAAACTCACAGTTACTCTGGTGGCCAAAAAAGAGTTCCCGTTTTTGTGAAAAACAGGTTTCATCGCCGTGTTCACGAAAGCTCGTCCTGAGCTGTTCATTCCATCCTGCCCCCGTCACACTCGTCTCGTCTTAGATTAATTTTAATATTATCCTTCCATCTACGCCTAGGTCTACCAAGGGGACTGTTTCTGTTGAGGTTTTCGGACAGTTGTTTTGCTACGTGTTTCTACCGCTCACGGTTGGTGCGTAGACATTTGATGGTAACGGATTACGAGACTTTTGGGATATTTATGAATGTTGCGTTTACTATTTAAAATATTTCCCCGTCATTTTTGACGGGCAGTTTGCTGGTATTTTTAGAATTGTTAAATGTAGGAAGTTAAAGGTCGGCCGGACATGTAGAATGCATACAATACAATGTTTGCAAGAAATAAGAGACATTTGCATACTGAGACGTTTAAGGTGAAACGCCTTATAGCGGTCATAGAGGCGTTGAGACAGATACACGTGGAAAGTTTTAGTCGGATGACGTAATGAAAGGAAACCACGTGAAAAACTATGGCAATCACTGGAGGATGATATTAAAATGAATCTCAGAGGACTGGGATGGACCGGATGTATCTGGTTTAAGATCGGGAACCGTGACAGGCTTTTGTGAACGCGGTGATGAACCTTTTTGTTCCCATAGAGGACGAGGAATTTCTTGACTAGCTAAGCGACTGATAGCTTGTCAGAGTTTTTCAAGGAGCGTCCTTCAACATGGAGGCGTTTCTCATGTATTCACATGTCAAAAGTTGGACGATGAAGGTCCCAGGCCGTATAAAGGTTGGTCTCCCTGCTTTTCCGCTGTTCAAATATGCAACTTCCGGTACACGTGGCTTTATCAACAGGAGACAAGTCTCGACTCTTATCGATATCTTGCGATGTGAGCGTCATTTTCAGTCTGTCTGAACAAACTAAATGATTAAGGTACTTGCTACTGATTTTCGTCTTCAATTTTTGTCTGTACTGACTCCACAGAGCAGAGTCCGTCCTTAGAAACTGACTGTCGCTCAGCTGGTCACATCTCCCACATTCTGCGAAACATAAAATGTAATTTCCTTGTTCACAAGAGTTCAGCACTGTTGCTTTTCCTCAGCCACTCCACATCTATTTTCCTTGATATCCTTTTTAATATTATCCTCCCATTTCCCTTCGTGTTTTGTAACTAAAGTTTTGTACGCATTTCTCATCTACTCTTTAATTAGTGAGTTTA